GTTCTAGTATACATTTCCATTGTCAGATGATCTGGGAAACAAAACCTTCCTCCAGAGACTGATAGAAGCAGAGGCAGACACCCACAGGTAAATAATGAACTAACCTCCTGGAATCCAGTGACAGTTTCTAACTTAAATAATAAAATGAGTAAAATAAAATTATACATTGGAAAATGAAAGCCTCTTCAACAAATGATGCTGCCATAACTGGATACTGACACGTAGAAGACTGCAGATTGATCCATGTCTATCGCCATGAACAAAACTTAAGTCCAAATGGATCAAAGACCTCAACATAAATCCAGCTCCTCTGAACCACTTAGAAGAGAAAATGGGAAGTACCCATGAATGAATTGGTATAGGAGACTGCTTCCTGAATATAACACCAGTAGCACAGATGCTGAAATCAACAATTAATAAATGGGACCACCTGAAACTGAGAAGCTTCTGTAAGGCAAAGGACACAGGCAACAGGATAAAAAGGAAGCCCACAGAATGGGAAAATTATTCACTAATCCCACATCTGGTGGACGTTTCTTCTCCAAAAATTACAAAAACCCAAGAAGCATGTCTCCAAAACACCAACGGATTCAATTGAAAAGTGGGGTAGAGAATTAAATAGATGATTCTTAATACAGGAGTTTAAAATGACTGAAACTTAAGAAAGTGCTCAACATCCCTAATCAAATCAAATGCAAATCAAAACAACTTATAATACTGTTAGAATGGGTAAAATAAAAAACATCAAAGATAGTTTATGCTGGAGAGGAGGTGGTGATAATGGAAATCTCCTTCACTGCTGGTGGGAGTGTCAAGTCATACAGCCACTTTGGAAATGAGTATGGAGATTCATCAGGAAAATGGGAATCAGTCTACCAGAAGACCCAGCAATTCCACTCTTAGGCGTATAGCCAAAAGACACAAATTCCTACAGGAACAATCTGTTCAAATATGTTCATGGCAGCATTATTTGTAATAGCCAGAACCTGGAAGCAACTGAAGACTGGATGCCACTCAACTGAAGACTGAAAACAGAAACTGTTGTACATTTTTACAATGGAGTACTACTCACTGGGGGAAAAATTGGTATCTTGAAGCAAGCAAATGAATGGAAGTAGAGGAAACCATCCTGAGTGAGGCAACCTAGTTAAAAAGATACCAAAATGGTAAACACTCAATCATATATGGATTTTCGACATAGAACAAATGATTACCACCCTAAAATCCACACTGCCAGAGAAATTAGGAAACAAGGAGTACCCTAAGAAAGACATATATGCATGGGTCCCTGCAGAAAGGGAAAGGGACAAGATGTCCTATGCTAATTGGTAGAATGGGTGAAGGACTTAGGAGAAAGATAAGGGGAGAGGAGGACATGAGCGAGCAGGAAGATTGACTCAGGGGAAGAAAAGAGCAGTCCAAGAAAACATATACCATAAGAGAGGGAGCCATTATAGGTTTAAAGATAAATCTTGAACTAGGAAAATGTCCAGGGATCTGCAAGGATAATCCCAACTATCAATCTAAGCAATAGTTGAGAAACAACCTTGAATGGCCTTCCCTGATAATGAGATTGATTACTATCTAATATGCCATTCTAGAGCTGATGGAAGCAGAAGCAGAAGCAGACACCCAGAGGACAACACTGAGCTGAAATCCTAGAATCCATTTGCAGGGAGGGAGGAGTGATGAGCAATGATGTTAAGACCAGGCTGCAGAAAGACACAGAATCATTTAATCTGAACAAGTGAGAGCTTGTTCAGGATACCAGGCTGGCATCTGGGAAACTATTACAGGACTGATGCAGAATCTCTGAATTTGGGTGTCAGGAAGGAGGCCTCGGCAATCTATAGGGTATCTGGTAGTGGATCACTATTTATTCCTAGTATATGAATGGGATTTATGAGGCATTTCCACATAGAGGGATATTCTCTCAGCCTGGACACATGGGTGAGGTTCTATGCCCTGCTCCAAATGATATGACAGACTTTTTAGATCAATCATGGAATGCCTCTACTTCTGGGAGTGCAGAAATTGAAAGTGATAGGGTGTTTCTTGGGGGTCAGGGGGGGACAGGAGCGAAAGGGAACTGGATTGACATGTAAAAAAGCTTGTTTCTTACTTACATAAAAATAAATAAAAAATTAAAAAAGAAGAAAATCATCCTCTGTCCCTTTTGCAGGAAGGTCATGTGCCAAGAATAGCAGAAAGCTAAATGAAAGAAGGCTAGCAAAGAGAACACAGGATACCTTAGACACAGCTGCCTTCACACAGATGACCTTGTCATGGGGATAAACAAAAGTTGTCTGGACTCAGAACCTTGAGAAATAGAGACTATAATCAGTTTCATACTGCTTATTGCCATGTGTCTTTCTGGACAATTATATACAATTAACGTTATGTTTTTGTTTGCATCAGGGCCTCTGAGAAATTTTGCATCGATATGATTACCACAAACCAACACTGGCTCTCCTGGACTGTCAATTCACTCTTGGCCTAATGGATTTACAGCAGCATTCTCCAGGCATTTGTGAGATCAGAGGGGTTCCAAGATTAATACTTCTGAATACAGGGTGTAAGTTCAAAATGTTTACGTAGTTGCGGGTTCTTTTAATTGCATTTCCCATGACTGGGAGAATGCAACATATCAGGTCATTATTTCATCTCTATAGTAGATCTTGAAGTCAGGGTGGATGATGCCTCAAGAAGCTTCTTTATTGTACATGACTTTTTGGCCATCCCGTGTGTTTTGTTTTCCACATAAAGTTGAGAGTTGTTTTTGCAAGGTCTGTGAAGAGTTATACTGGGATTTCAATGGGGACAGTAATGAATCTGTTGATTGCTTTGGTAAGGTTGTCATTTTTATTGTGTTGATCCTACCTATCTGAGAGCAAGGGAGATCTTTCCATTTTCTGTTATCTTTTTAATTTCTTTCTTTAAAGACATAAAGATTTTATCATAGAGTACTTTCATTTGTTTGGTTAGAGTTATACCATGATGTGTTTTGTTGTTTGTGGCTACTGTGAGGGGTGATGTTTCTGATTTCCTTTCCCAGTAATTTGTCATCTACTTATAGGAGATGTACAGTTTTACTTTTTACTTAATATTGTATTCTGCAATTTAAATGGAGGTGTTTATCAGTTCTAGGAATTCCTGATAGACTTATTTAGGTCCCTTAGATATACTATCATATCTTTTGCAAATAGCTGAAGTTTAATTTCTTCCTTTGTAATTTGTATCTGGTTGATATTCTTTTTTTTCTTAATACTCAACTAGAACCTCAAGAAAAATATTAAATTGGTATGTAGACAGTAGACAGCCTTGTCTTGTTCCTGATATTAGAGTATTCACACTGAGATTCTTTTCATTTATTTTGATGTTGGTTATTGGTTTGCTGTATATTACCTTTATTAAATTATGCATGTTCTTTTTGTTGCTGATCAGTAATAGATATGCTATCATGGAAGAGAAAATTGTACTAGAATATTATTGCAATGTGTGTGACTTTTGTTTATGCTACATTTGTTTAACTCTGTGAAGTGGTTTACCTGTAGTTTTCTAAAATACATGGTGGTCTAATAAATAGCTGAGTGGCAAATAATGAGGCATGAACAATGATAAGCAGAGCAAGCCAGCAGAGAGTATAAAGAAGAGAAAGGACAGCTAAAAGAGTTTACAATAAGAGAAGAGGAAAATATCATGTGCCAGGCAACCAGCCACACAGATAGCCAGAGATTAAGAATGGAAGTAAAGTATACAGAATTATGAGAGATAAAAGCACAGAAGGAAAAGATAGAAGCATTGACTAATGTTCAGAAAAGCTGGATAGAAACGAACCAAATAATACTGGGCATTTGTTAGTAAGAATAAGCTACCTAATGTGTGTGATGTACTTGGGAGCTGGGTGGTGTGCCTCCCTCAAATGAGTCAAAGGTCAAAAGAGTAAAAATAATTTGAAAGATTAGAAAATCCAAGGAGTCTCTACCATTCACATGGAATTATAATTAATTAATAGTGAGAGTGAGAACAACAGGGCAGCTACGGCATATTCAATATCTATGATCAGTCATGAAATCACAATACATTTTACATATTAATTTTGGTAAAAGTTATACTTAAATATTTAGGTGTATATATGTTTACACATATATAGGTATACTTGTAAAACTAGTTGATAAAAAAGAGGCCTTGTCTTTGAAAGTGAGCAAGGGTGACTAACCTATAAGGGAAAGGAGGGATTAAAATAGAATATTATAATTTCAAAAAGTATAAGAGATATGTTAGATGAAATGTGTTAAAAGTTAGACATATTATTTAATATATTTAAATATATATATGATGGAACATATGTAATATAAAAGATATGGCACAAAGTCCCGAAGAGTATTCAACCAATACTACTTGCTTCAAGAATTTCTGCTGTCACTTGTCAGAGAGTTTCACTGTATACATAAACTTGCGGCAAATTTTGAAGTATCTGAGTCACCGTTTCCCTTAAATAAATTCACCATTTATTTTTCAGCAGGATGGCTAGCAAAAACAGATATCTGACAAGTCCTGGGAATGCTAGACCATTTCTCAGTCATATTGGAGACATAAGCCTATTGTTGAATGACCATCTACACAGTTATCAATGTCTTGGCTTTAGGAAAAAATAATCACATTACTATAACACAAGGAATGTATTATAACAAAAATTTTGAAACGTCCGTCCAATCGCTGGTGCTATCCTCTGAGTTCACTCTCAAGGAACATCTCAACGTTTCTGGAAGCTGAATTGAAATCTGAGGACACAGAAAAGTGTCTGTGTTGAACCCTGTCTGCGATCCTAACACATGCAGTGTAAAATGAGAAGCACAGAGGACTCTCTCACATATTACATCTCACATGTGAACTAATCATCTGTCAAAGATCTCAGCTACATTCGATCTGTATTACAGAATGTTTGAACACATTTTCAGATGAAAAAAGCTCGCATTTCATTAACATAAAGGGGCGAGTAAGCAGCAGAACGGCCCCTAGTCCAGTCACTTCCCACACAGAGGTCACTTCCGGTTCCGGGAGGTGCCATGGTGTCAGCTGGGAGCAGCCTGGGAGTCCGGACAGATGGGTGAGGCCACGACTGGAGACTCTGAACTCAGCTGCTCCCTCCTCAGCATGTAGGCCTAGATTCTGGTGTGGGAGCTGGAGAGGAGAGCAGAGGAGCTGCTGGGATCGCGGGTGGCGCTGCTGTGGCTGCTGCTGCTCTAAAATCATCAGACAATGCTTCCAGGGCACTGAGGAGCTGCCTCCCCCACCTCCAGCTACTGGACATGAGCAGGGAACCGATCATTGGGATGGAACCCGAGCTCCTGTGGCTGCTGCTGCCCCACAGCCAAGCATCTGACATCCCTGCCAGGGAGGTGAGCAGCAGCCTCCCCCACCTCCAGCTCCTGGACAAGAGCAGGGAGCAGCTCATGGCCCTGGGACCCCAGCTGCTGACTCAGAGCATCCTGAGCATGCTGATGGACAGGAACAACAGGCTTGACAACACAGGCTTGCTGCTGGAGGGACTTGCCCTGTCTCTACTCTGTCTCAGACTCCAGGTACTCAGCCTCACAGGCAACTGCTTCCAGGAGGGGCTTGACTAGCTGTGGGAGGGGGAGCCCTGCACACCCTTAACCTGGGCTGCAACAGGCTCCACAGTATGCCCGCTGAAAGGAGACCTTGGAGAATTTAGAATGTTTATGAGGAAACTATTAATGAAATCCCACCAGAATTAGCAAATCTCCCTTCTCTCAGCTATTTGGTGTTAGGTGACAAAAAAATCCAGTGTTCCTCCTCAGCTTTCACAGTTGCTTTTATTTCTCCAGTCTCCTCATTAGCTTTGTGACATAACTGCCTCTAGAGCTCCTCAATCCTATTCAACTGCCAGAGGTGAGATTTCCAGGAAATCCATTGTTAGTTCGTTTTGTAAGCGGTTTAGCATAGATCTTCCAAATCTTCTGTAATTACCAAAAAAGACTATTAAGATCCAGAAGTAGTTCTGGCACACACTCTTCTATTCTGGGAATCTGCTAAGATACTTGTGTTCAGCCCACAATGGCCCAAATCCAAAGTATGACAGATTGTGTTTTGGATGCTGTGTCATTCAGTCTGTGGAATTCTGTTGAATATATCACGTCCCGCTAATGCATTGTTTGTGTTTTTCAGAATGCTCTCCCCCCACTGCCCCCGCAGCTGTGCTCACACAGCTCCACATCCCAGAGTTTGTCTGAATCAGAAGATGAAGCCAGTGATCCTGTACAGAGAATGCAAAATGTTCTTCTTGGTTGACAACTTTGGGTTTACACAAACGAAAGCAAAGCAAAGATGTATAAATGAAAATGGAGCTTGAATTTGATTATAAAGCTCAGTGGTTTCAGCTTGAATGTCCATGTAAGACTTACAAAGATTTGAAAGGTTTTGCATTTCATGTATTTGTTCAGTATGATTGAATTCAGTTTCGTGTTTAGATTCTTTGAATATAATTTATTGTAAATAGCAGTTCAAAATTTAGCTGGTTAGTCACAATTTTCACTTAAGTCTTTGATGTGAAGCTAATAGAATGGTATGTTTGCTTGACAAGTCATAATCAGCCTGGTGTGGTGTCATCTGACACACTTGGGTTGAGGAAAGTAAGACATCATGACACTTGTACTACCAGAGTTGTTCTGTTTTGCCTGAAATATTTGTCATAAATAGAATGATCCTTTGCCATGGGTCACCCCTGGGCTTCAGCCAATGACTAACAGTATATAAATGATTATCACTTCTAAATGGTGTATTTAACCTTCAGTTCTTGTTTTGTTTTATTTTACTAACTTTATGCAATCTATGTGTGACTAGTTACAGTCCCTTCTAGCAGGGATATAGAGGCTTATTCTAGCGATGATTTTAGAACAAACTACAACCTTGGGAACATACTTTTGCAGACTAGGTAATCAACTGTATATATAATCCCTGAATCCCACAGGCCTGAAACTCTTCATGTAGAATTTGCTGACCATGAACTCTGAGAAAGACCTTTCTGTACCTCCTGGTGATGGCATTACAGACATGCAAGACAACCTACTTACATTTTATTTTAACTTCATTTTGTTAACTGCAATGATCTCTTGTAATCATGCCCTTGGGATTTCTGGGAGGCTAGAGTCATGATACATCAACTTCCCAGTGGACAGAAAACTGTTATTGCCAGAAAAATCTAATGTCGAGTAATCTAAGAGAGTTTGGTTCCTAATAGTCAACTAAATGAGGGAAAGGTGGATATGATTGAGCACACATACAAACAAGCACTTGGGAGGTAGAGGCAGAATATGAGGAGTTCAAAATTAGCATAGGCATTATAGTACAGTTGAAGCCAGCCAGATATATGTCCCTGAAACCTTGTCTAAAAGTCGGGGTAAGTTTGGGTGGGATGGATTATAACTTCCAAATGTGTTTGCTTGTGTTGTATACTAAATGCAAAGTTTCTCTGCACTTGATAGAGTAACTACAACTAGACATCATTACAGTTGAAGGTAGTCAGAAGTAAAGCTTCTTGTATCCATTCACAATATGGTTTAACTACTGAACATTAAGAAAGTAGTATTGATAAATGAAAATACTAATGCAATATATCCTTAAAGTATGCAGAAAAATGGTAGCACAAATATTGTCATTGAAGATTAACAAATTATACTATTGGATTATGCAATAAAAAACTAATACTAATAATTTAATTGGGGATTAATAAATAAATATTTAACTCTCAATGCTGAGGATTATAAAACAGAACTGTAGTAAGATTAAGACTGGTTGGTAAGAACTAAAGGAAGCTTTAGTTTGCATTAGGTTGTTAGGTGAGCATTTAGAAGCATGCTTTGTTAGAATCCAGTTATATGCTGAGAATATTTGCATGTTTGTTTTCAGATATATATATATATATATATATAATTTTATTTTATTTATTTGCTGATCTTAGGAGTTTTTATTAGTAGTCTATGTGGTAATTCAGGTTTTGTGTGTGTATGTGTTATGTCATGAAACAGGAGTTTCATGACTGCAGTTGTGAAACGCTGCTATAGTGTGTCCCCTTACCTTTTCCTCATAATAGTGTAGTAAGATCATTTTTATTTTTCTTTTTTTGAGATTTTCTTCTGTGTTTACAGAAGTAATGTTTCTTCTGCAAATGTATTTTATGATAGTAGTTATAAAGTTGTTTTTCTTCACAGTGAGCAACATTAAGCTGCCTATTCCAAAATTAGGAGAGGCAGATATGAATTCACGGGTTCCCATGTATAAAACTGTCAATATTTCATAGTTAGATGACTTTAGTTATGCAACATAGAATATTTACATGTGAAACATTCAGAATGATGGGGCCATCCACTCCTGGATTAAATCCTGTAGTTTCTTGATTGATAAATATCCTAACCTACGTGTACGTAATAACGTGAGTAATCTTTTAGGACTTAATTGTAAATAGAGCATCTAACACTTTCAGCCTCATAGAAAGAGTTGTACTGTTTCCTCATTCATAAATGTATATATTCCAGCCTGTGACATATAAAAGTATCCTTTAGTTGTCTTTCACAAAATGTTCATTGTGCTTTCTTTTATGTGTATGATTAAACTCTGTGAATAGCATGACAAATCAGTAGTTTCGGCAGAGATGTGGATTATAAGGACAGATGCAGTACCTTGTACCTCTTGAGTGAACAATTGTCCAAGCCTATAGCATAGATTTTCATTAGTGCAATTTCATTGTTAGTTATTTTATCTTTATTTTTTATTTTTTTATCCATTTAATACTTCTGTGGCCCTATCTGTAACAAATGCTGCCAACGATTCCTATTTTTTTATTTTACATGCTTTTTCTATTTTTAAAAACTGACTATAGATATTAATTTGGAGAGAAAGGAATTAGATCCCATGTAAATAAAATTTATTTTAAGATGCAGGCTTTCTTGCTAGTTACAAATACTATATTTATCCACCAATGAAATCTTGGAGTTTCAGATTCAGCAAGTGGGCAATTTTCATAATATGGCTATTTTATTTTCTGAGACAGGGGAGTACTAACCTTGAACTAGACATGTAGGCAACTCTGTCCTTTTTGTAATACTTGTGCCTGGAATTCTCAGACATGGGGATCACATGTATAAACCATTAGCCTGGCTAAATATTTTACTTAGAAATGTACCAAAGCTGCCTCTTGCTAAAAATTTTGATTTATAAATGATCCTTTCCAAAATAAAAAAGTATACTATAAATTGATTTCAATTTTGAGAAATTTGGGTAGTATAAAAAAATAAAGGTAGTCCTCATTAGGACAAGCCTTTATTGCGGAGTAGTTTCAACACAGAGTGGAAATAGAGGGTTAAAATGAAGACTCATGAAGAGACTGTTTGCAGGAATGTTAATTAAAATATATCATTAAAGGCAGCAAAGTAGAATAGAAGTCATTTTCCAGGGAATCCAATGATCTAATACAGCTCTGTAGAGTAATAAGGAGTTACCTTAAATTGATTCTTCAAATTTCCTACAACTAATATCTAAAACACTTATCAATAAGTTTATGACTACCATTTTTTTATTGAGTCCTCCCTGCTATTCCGTTGCTCCCTACACAGCAGAACAATTTAGCTGTAGGCTTTCTTTAAGTCTTGCTCTTTCAGAGTTACTATTGGAAAGTAGTTCTTTTTGGCCTGGTTCATAATACAGCAGGGAAGCCTTAGTTAATGTTTACCTTTTGGTTGCCTTTTTAAAAAATTGCACATTAAATTTTAGTCATTCATATTTACCTAAAAACGTATGATTAACCTTTACGTTTTCATGTGAGTGCCTGCAGATACAATGTTACAAATAAAAGTATATGTATAGGTCATCAGGTGATCATTTAAAGGGTGCTTTGTTAGAATCCAGTTGTATGCTAAAAATATTTGAATGTTAGGTTTCTTATATGTATGTAATTTTTATTTAAGTTTCTTGTTTTAGGAGATTATATTAGTAGACTGTATGGTAATTTAGGATTTGTGTGTCCTTATGTTATTTCATGAAACAGGAGTTTCATGACTGCAGTTGTGAAATGCTGCTATAGTGAGTCCCCTTACCTTTTCCTCAGAATAGTTTAGTAAGATCATTTTTACTTTTTTTAAGAGATTTTTTTCTGTGTTTATAAAATGATGTTTCTACTGCTAATGTAATTTTATGATAGTAGTTATAAAGTTTTTTTTTCACACTGAGCATCATTAAGCTGCCTATTCCAAGCTTAGGAAAGGCATAGATGACTTCACGGGTTCCCACGTATCAAACTGTAAATAGTTTGTAATTATATGACTTTAGTTAAGCAACATAGAATGTTTTCAAAGAAAACATTCAGAATGATGGGGCCGTACACTCCTGGATTAAATCCTGTAGTGTCTTGATTGATAATCATCCTTACCTAAGTAATAACATGTGTGGTCTTATAGGAATTACTTGTAAATAGCCTTGTAAATAGAGCATCTAACCATACATATCCTTTCTACGCTCCTAGACATAGGTATACTGTTTTTTTCTTTCATAAAAGTAGATATTCTATCCTATGTCATACAAATATTTGATATAGTGTGCTTTCAACAAAGTGTTTATTGTGAATTTTTATGCTTCTAGTTTAAACTGTGTAAATAGTGTGCCAAATAAGACTTTTTGCCAGAAATGGTGATTATAGAGATAGATCCAGGGTGTTGTATTTGTTGAGAAAGCTACCATTTATGCCTAATATTGATAGTTTTTAGTGAAATCATCATTTTTAGCTCTTTAATTTTTTGTTATTTTTTATCTTTTTATTCATTTTGGCATTAACATTCTGCAAATGATTGCTAAGTTTTTTTCTTTTTCAAACAGTATTCGTTTAAAAAAGAACTGAGTATAGACATTATGTGATGAGATGGGAATTGGTCACCTCGATATATGATTGTCTTCTTAAGACATCATTTTATATCAAAGTGGAAGATAGGTATCAAAGAAAGTCATTGTGGATTGTGCCTTTGACATGGGAGGACTAGCAATTTGGACAAGAAACTTGCCTTAATGGATTGCTGACAGCAAGTTCTCAAAACTGAACAAGAATTTTACAATGAAAAGTGACTGCTGAACTTTCCAAATTTCATGACTATTCTTCATTAACCTGTTTTATCAAAAAGTCTGTCAGACATCTGGGACTATAAGCTGAAGAGGGATTCCACAAATTTGCAGAGGATCCTTGGATGACTTTCTAGGCATCAATATCTCTTTGTAAAATCTAGAGCTTATATATGATCTTCTGGATTCTTTCGTGTTGTTGAAGACAGATAGTTATGGTTATGAATTTCCTTAGTTATGTAATAAATAAGTTGCATATAAAGCTTTAAAGTAACAAAGATAGGAACTATGTAGAATGGTTTCTTTAAATTTGCAAAATACTATTGATCTAAATATTGTTAACTGTACTTTTTTGCTTATTAAGTTTTCTAATGCATAATTGTACCATTTTAAATTTAAACTTCCTTGTTTTTCCAGACACAAAGAGCACATGATGTGGGATTTCCTTCTGTATGATGTGACTATATGTTTCTCTTCCTTGTGGAGGAAAAATGTGAGGCAGGATATAGCAAGGGAGAATGTATAGGCAATATAAACTGAGAAGGGAATTCAGAGAATAACACGTATTGTAAGTCTTGAGACAGCTCTAATTAATGTAGCTGCTGGAAAGTTAGATTGTCTGGTCATTTTCTAGTAAGACAAAACAACTTGGAGATTCACTGATTAGTTCAAATGGTTAGTAATTACAGGGAACTAGCCAATGTATCCTGTGCCAAAGAATAAATAGAATATATTTTATATAACCCTCTGTGTGTTTATTTGGGACTGTAGTGTGACAGAATCAAGATGAACACTAACTTCTGCCTACGCATTGTTGTTAGTGGAAAATATTATTGATTTGATTTGTTTTGTGAACATGGATGGTAGAGAATTCTTTTTCTCACAGTTCACATAGTCGGCATTGTGTTCCTGAGTAACAGTGCTGACCTCAATAATCACTTTCAAAATTATATGCATACTTGCATTGTGGATTTTTTGTATCCTTTCCCTAATTATTTTTTGCTAGCAACAACAAAATGGGCTACATAAACAGCCTTAGCTTTTATAAATTTGGGCGTTCAGTACCAACAAATGTGGCTGAAAACATTACTTTAATTTGGTCAAATTATTATGTATGCTCTGACTTATTTAATTTTCGGGACCTAAAATCATATGTGTTTCACAAGGCTATGTAAGTGTATATGAAATTAAAATGTAACTATGAAATATAAATCAGTGATGGAATTTGCTATTTTGAAAAAATATATTCCTATTGTATCAAGTTATGTTATGTTGTAATGGCAAATATTCTAAGAATCATTTTTAAACTATTGAAGTTCTTGTTCCTCATTATCAAAATGACATGAAAAACCATGGTCTTATATTAGCTATGTATACCCAAAGAATTTTGCCTTAAATGTTGTACATTGTCTTATTAGACTCAAAAAATCTTACAGAAATTTACTGAAAACGTAATAAATTATGTGAGCATACAATTTTCAAAAATGAGTAGTTTTGTTGTTCCCAATAATGCAATCAGATAAGGAAGTGTGAGTATCTGGATATCTCTGTGTGTGTGGTTGTATAAGTACAATCAAATAAGTAACATCACTGAATTCAGTTATCAGGAGTATGAACCTGAACTTGAACATTAAATTGAACATTTAGAAATAAAAAAAATGGGAATACATGTGTTATAACTCTTTTTGACTTTTGTAATTAAAACATATTTCCTTGTTCCCAAAAAGGAATGAATCTGTAGCCACTTTGAACATAACAAATGATGGTGTTAATGCAGCCAAATATCATACAAATGTTATGAAAAGTAACTGAAAATTAATATCTGGAACAATTAACTTACTACTTGACTTTTTAATATAATAAATGTTAGAAGTCAGCTTTCATGTAAGTCAAATGTAAGTGTATGTAGATGCTCATATACACTCATAGTCATGTGCATTCATACAGTGAGTAGGTAATTGCTCACAGAACGCCGATCTGACAGTTGACTTGATTCAGCATCATGAGAGACCTAAGTAGTACCAAGGCAACGAGCCAATGTTGTTTCCAGATAAATTCTACAGGACCTAGTTTTTGAGGCATACTGTGTTGAATTTTTGTTTCTGTCCTGTATTTTCCTTTATATATTTTTAGCCGTAATCTACATTGGAACCCAGGCAAACTTAGAACTTATTTGGTAGTTCAGGATGACTTGTACTTTCTCAATCATGTTCTAGCCTCATCTTTACAAGTGCTCAGGATATGGACAGTAACCAGAAACTTAATTACAAATTACATGTAATGCCACTCTCTGAAAAAGCATCAAAAATGACTGTGCAGATTTTAAACAGGATGCATTTTATGAAGTAAGTAGTGGTTAACAGAGAATCACATCAGGGCAATATTCAATTCATGGGACATATATATGCAATTTTTCTCTCAGCTAGATGACATAATCCAATATGTGCAAAGAATGCCCATGGAAACAGGATAAGAAAATCCACTGATTTTATTTGCATCCTTTCTAGATATTCACTGATACACACACACACACATACATAGTTACACATACACACAGACTTAATTCACACAGACTCAGACAATAACAACACAACTTTTCATATTTATATGTTGGCAAATCAATCTCAAAATGCACAGTATAAATTGATTATTAAAAATTATTTTAAATTATTGCCATTGCACCCAGATTCAGGTGAGCTTGGGTCCTCCTGGGGACCCTTTCCCTGCTCATTACTTGCTCCCTCAATCTTCCTGGTGCTGCTCCTGGCATTGAGAGGACCTGCCCACACATGAAACTTGTTAGTCTTCACAGACCCAACACACAGCTCTCCCCACATATGCGTTCCCAATTCCAGGTGACCTTGGGTCCTCCCAGGAACCCTTCCCTGCCCATTACCCACTCCCTCAGTCTTCCAGGGATCCACTCATGGCATCGAGAGAACCTGCCCACACAGGAAAGATGTGAACCCTTTCAGACCCCATCACTGGCACGTCCAGCTTCAGGAATGTAGGAGACCAGTGGAGACAGGGATACCCTACCTACACTCACTGCAGTTATACATGGGAAGTAGACAGTGTAAGAACAAAATCAGTAATAGAATGCCTAATATCACTCCACCAGAATCTAGAGACCCCACACTAGCAAGACTTGAAAAGCACAACATAGATAAAGCAGAAGAGACAGACCTTAAAAATTATTTTGTGAAGATGATAGAGACCCTAAAAGAGGAAACAAGGAAATCCTTTTAAGAAATATAAGATAAAAACAAACAAAAAATATATGAAATGGAGGAAAAATGCAAACCAAATAATTCAAGAAATAAACAAATATCTTAATATAAAGTGTGCCAAGAAAAAAACAACCAAACAAATGATGGAAACAACTCAAACTGTTGAAGGATTGAAAGCTGATATAGAAACAATAAAGAAAACCCAGAATGAGGGAGCGCTGGAAATATAAAAGCTGAGTAAACAATCAGGATGCAAGTATCACCAATAGAATATAAGAGATAGAAGAGAGAATTTCAAGTATTGAAAACACATTAGAGGGTATACATTCATCAACCAAAGAAAATCTGAAGTCCAACAAATCTTTAACACAAAATATCCAGGAAATTTGGGACACAGTGAAGATGTCAATCCTGAGAATAATAGGTATAGAAGAACGTGAAGAAATACAACTCAAAGGTACAGAAAACATATTCAATAAAATCATAGAACAAAACTTCCCTAACCTAAAGAATGATATGCCTATGACAATAAAAGAATCTTACAGAACACCAACTAAGCTGCACCAGAAAAGGAAGTCCCTTCACTGCATAATACTGAAAACACCAAACCTACAGAATAAAGAGAAAAATACTAAGAGCAGCTAAAGAATAAGGTCAAGTAACATATAAAGGCAGATCTATCTGAATTACGCCTTACTTCTTAATGGAAACTTTGAAAGCCTGAAGATCATGGACAGTTGTCCTGCAAGTGCTGAGGGAACAAAGTTTACAGCCCAGACTATTGTATCCAGCAAAGCTTTCAATTACCATAGATGGAGAAAACAAAATATTCCATTACAAAGCCATATTTAAACAATACATATCCACAAATCCAGCCCTACTGAAAGCGGTGGAAGTAAAACTTGAATCTAATGAAGATAACTATGCTGAAAGAGTCATAGGCAATAGATAATCCCACTTTACCAATGACCAAAAGAAAAAGGGAGGAAAACCTATACACAATAACACCACTTCCAATAATTCAAAAATAAACAAGAATCAACAATAAATGGTTATTAATATCCCTCAGTGGTTACAAATTGCCTATAAAAATACACAGACCAGCAGAATACATATGACCAAAGAACCCATCCTTATGCTACATACCAAAAACTCATCACAACATCAACTACAGACATTACCTCAGAGTAAAGGGATTGGAAAATATTTTCCAATCAAACTGACACAAGAAACAAGCTGTGTAGCAATCCTAATGTCTAAAAAATTAAACATCAAATTAAATTCAATCAAAAGAGGTGAAAAACGATATTTCATATTCATTAAAGGAAAAGTCCATCAAGATGAAGTCTCTGCTCTGAATATCAATCTATACCTCAAATACAAAGGCACCTACATTCATGAAAGGAATATTACTAAAGCTCAAAACCCACATAAAATTTCAAACACTAGTATTAGGATACTTCAACACTCCACTCTCATCACTAGACAGGACCTCCAGACAAAAACTTAACAAAGAGACAAACATCTGTAGAACATTTCATCCAAACACAAAGGGATATATCTTCTTCTCAATGCCACATGAAATATTATCTAAAATTGACCACGGCGAAGGGGAGGGAGGAGTGGGACCTGGGAAGAATAGAGGGGGTAAAGAGGAAGGGAGTTGGTCATGGGGGAACAGGAAGTTGAGGGGGTGGGGGTAGAATAGGGGGAAGAGGGAATCATAGGATCGAAGACAGATCAGGCACCAGAGTGACCTCGAGTGATCTAAAGGTATAACATCAATTGGCAAGCTAAGCAATAGTGGAGGGACCGCCTCGAATGCCCATTCCTGATAATGAACTTGATGTCTATAACCATCCGGGAGCCTTCATCCTGTGACTGATGGAAGCAGAGGCAAACACACAACTAATCACTGAACTGAACCCAAGGAACCCAGTGACAGAGAGGAGTGATGAGCAAATTGGCAAAGAATGGGCTGGCAAAACCAGCAGAGACAGCTGATCTGAACAGGGGAGTGCTCTTGGACCCCAGACCGATAGTGGGGAGGCCAGCATGGGACTGATCTGGACCCCCCAAATGTGAGTGTCAGTGAGAAGGCCTGGGCAACCTATGGGGCCCTGAGCTGTGGATCAGTGTCTATCCCTGGTATACAAACTGTCTTCATGTGCCTATAGCACAAAGAGAGATGCTCTCTTAGCCTGGACTCTTAGGGGAGTGCCTTGACCCTACCAAGAGTAAAATGACAGACTCTAGATATCCCCTATGTGGAAGGATTTGGCAATAGGGTGGGAGGGAGGGGGAAAGGGGAGTGCGGGAAGAGGGGAGGGAGAGGGAACTGGGATTGACATGTAAAACAAGCTATTTAAAATTAAAATAAAAAATGATTTAAAAAAATTGACCACATAATAGGAAACATAGCAAACCTCCACAGATACAAAAAACTGGAGTAATCCCCTGTATCTTATCAGACCACCATGCATTAAAATTAGAATTCAACAATAACACAAATCACTGAATCCCTACAAACTCGTGGAAATTGAACAAGGCACAATTGCACCATCCGTGGGTAAAGGAAGAAATAAAAATAAAAATTAAAGATTTCCTGGAATTCAATGTGAATGAACACACAACATACCCAAACTTATGGAACACTGAAAGCAGTGCTGAGAGGAAAGTTCATAGCATTAAGACTAAGTAAACATATGAAGAAACTGGAAAACAGTCACACTAGAGAATTAATAGCACAACTTAATGCTCTGGAACATAAAGAACCAAACTCACCCAGGAGGAGTAGACTCCAGGAAATAATTAAAATGAGGGCTGAAATCTGTCAAGTAAAAACCATGAAACCATCACAAAGAATCAATGAAGTAAAGAGTTTGTTCTTTGAGAAAAACAACAAGATAGACAAACATTTGTCCAACTTAACCAAAAGGCTGAGAGAGAGAATGTTAATTAACAAAATCAGAAATGAAAAGAGGGACATAACAATGGACACTGAGGAAATTCAGAGAATCATCAGGGCATACTTTGAAAACATGTACTCCACACAATTTGAAAATTGAAAGGAAATGGACAATTTTCTGGATAGATATCACTTGCCAAAACTAAATCAAGTACAAATAAACAAATCAAACCAACTCTGAGATACCACCTCACCCCTGTCAGAATGACTAAAATCAAAAACTCCAATGACAATTTATGATGTCGAGGATGTGGAGGGAGGTGAACTCTCCTTC